TCCAGTGAAGTCCCGTTGTTGCTTATTCAACAAGTAACATATCAGTTTACCCAAAACAAAAATGTAGCAAATTCATTTGTTGTGAACATAAAGGTATATATATTGACTTTATTCTTTAGTGTTACTGGTCAAAATTGGATTGATGAGATGTTGTCAGATTCTAACGAAATTTATCCAATCAGATAGAAACGAAAGAGTGGAGGGTATTACATGAAATTGACGCCATACTTGGGGTGTTGATTAGGAAGAAACATCCCCCAAAACTTCTCAAACCCAGAAATCTTCTGATTCTCATCGAACATGGCGAATATATAAGTCTCTACAGGTCTCCCTGGCCTCCTCGGAGATCCAGTCTTCACAGTTTGTATCAAATTGTTCACATAAGTCCTTGCATTATCCACACTCGTCGCGGCTCCTCCCTCGGTCGGCCAACCACTCTCGGAAACCACAATCTCCACTGTTCCGCCTCGTATTTTCTCCAATGCTGCGTAAACAGTGTCTAGGAGTGCATGGAAGAGATTTTGGTATGAGTTTGGTCCGTCAGTGACTACAGTGGAGGATGAAGTGAACAGAGCGTACTCTAAACGGAGGTCTCTCATGTTATCAATGTAGGTGAAGTAAGGGTACATATTCACGAGCAGAGGAGATTGCTTCTTTGCCAAGAAACCAACCACCGGCGCAATAAAGTTCCGAAATTCCGGTGTGAACGTCCCTTGTGAGGGCGGAAACCCAGTAAGGCCTCTGGTGTCTATGGCTGTTGAGACCTTGATTCCAAGTCCTGAAACCGCTCTTTCGATGTTCTGCATCGCGGGGAAGACAAACCTCGCGGCTTGGTCTGAGGGTTGCACCACATTCCCGACCGATATGTAGCGAAATTTGACTCCATTTGAGTAGTTGCGGACGTTGTTGTTGACCCACCTGTCGGCTTCCGCTTGGCTGGAGGCGACACGCTGGAGATCAGGGTTGGGAACACCGAGCAGAAGCTCGATGTTTGAGCCGCGGAGAGCGAGGAGAGTTTCTTGGTCTGGATCGTAAATCCGCATCCGCCGGATGTTTCGTCGCCGGAAAAGCGCCACCGTGTCCGCCGGACGTGGCAGGTTGTTTCCAAGTCTCCCGTAGCACACTCCAATTTGCCCAACTTCAATTTCAAATCTTGAATCATTATTAACAAATATATAACTAACTAAATCAAATTCTGAAAACGATATATATATATATCTAAAGAGATTAAAAATGTTGTCGAACAAAAAAAAATCTAAAGAGATGAATATGATATAATCTATAGAGTAAAAGATGATTGAACCTGCCGTGTCGAAGAATGAAACCATAAAGAAGCTGAGAAGTAGTAGTAAAGGTGCTAGTGAGGCTAAGAAACTCGATTTATTAGACATCTTCAACATGAAATAACAATTTAGAGATGATGTTAAGATATTGATCATTGTTTATGCTTGCAACTTTATATGTTCAAAATCATAGCAGTTGCTTACGTTTTAGATGTGAAACGGTGATTCAAGTCAATGAATGAAACAAAGTCATCGCAAATTGACCTTTTTATAATTATGTCGAATATCCAAAAATAAAATCGAATAATTGATCTGTACATACACACACCAGCAATTACATCCGGAGGTCTCTTACGGAGTCTCTGCACAATAAAA